TATAATATATAATATATAATATATAATATATAATATATAATATATAATATATAATATATAATATATAATATATAATCTATAATCTATAATTTCTAATAAAGGATTATCGATTCTCGTTATAAATAATTTAAAGATTCAGAGAGAATGGTAAAAACTCCACTCTCTCTTCCAGCTCATCATACTCTACCCCCGATGAGGGTCAGTTAGGGAGAAGGTAAGTAAGATTGATAATGTTGATTAAACCAAGAAAATTAAAGTAAAGTCCGAATTCTTATAGATAGATTAATAATCAGGGATCTGGAGTTTTTTGAAAGTTTAGCAAATATATAATGAATATATAGATATAAATATAAATATAGATATATATAGAAATATATATAGAAATATATATATAAATATATATAGAAATATATATATAGATATGTATATATATATAAATATATATATATAGATATATAATATAGATATAAAGGTTCTAAATGATCTAGAGAGAGAAAACAATACGTCTGTTTTGCGGGATTTATAGTAAAATTATAGGTTCTCGATTCCCTCTTTTCAGATTCTCGAGAATAGGATGTGTAAAATGTGGATGGTTGATTCTCGGGAATGGTATGGAAGTAATCATCAAGACTATGAAATAGCTAAGTATCCAGAAGGTAATACTCCCGATCATAAGAATATCTATTTAGTTTAGTACCCTTATAGACAGCATAACTCGATTCGGCTTACATACTTGATTCTTATAAACCACTATAGTTCAGCGGTAGAACAATTCATTCATGCTGAGTATGCGTAGATTCGATTTCTACTAGTGGTAAAAGTTATTTTTATCTTCACCATTCCCTCTATAATATTTGATATACTTCCACGCAGAGTGAACCATTACGGAGTAATTTAACACACGGACGCTTCACGATAGTTACACACGTTATACCCCTGATTAGGGTAGGAATTAGGAATTCTTTAAACACACATAGATTTTATCTTCGATCTCTGAAAAAGGGTGTTTTAAATTAAAGAATCTCGTCTCTGTGAGCCGTCGTGTGACTTCGTGTGTGTGTGGTGTGGAGGTAATAGAGAGAATCCGTATAGGTATATAAGTACAGATGAAGGTAGAGAGGGGAGATGAGCGAATACGCTCTGGAAGATAAAATGAGCAGGCCTAAGATATTTTATCTTTAAGTTCTTCTTTTTTAGATTTTTCTAAATTAATTATTTATAACCATTATATAATATTACTACCACGGTTAATACTAAGGAACCTGGACCTGGACAGGAACAGGAACAGGAACCATTACGAAGTCCCTGCCACACACACTCTCGGGGTCCGTGTGGATTTTGGGGTTCCGTGTGGTGGCGGGTGTGGAGTTAAAAGATTTTACCTTCGATAAAATGGTAGTAACAGTGAAAGTATAATTCATAACGAAAAAGGTTATAAATAATTGATTTATAGAGTAAGAGTTAGAGTTTTCGTTAGAGTTTTCGTTAGAGTTTTCGTTAATAATGGATGGTTGGTTATAAATATTAAGGAGGGGCATATAAAGGATAAGATAAAGTATATGTTTGTAGTATGAAGTCTAATTCTAATTCCATTTATAGGGGCTATACACGTAGCTCTGACGGAGGTAAAGGATAACATAGATGTACGTAAGATTAGGAAGCTAAGTCTAATGTATACCTGTTTTACATATTATATAAGTATAATGATGTGGATGGAATTCAATCCATCAAATGTGGGGATACAGATAGTAAGTGAGTTTTCAGACTGAGAAATGTTTAACATTGCGTTTGGTGTAGATGGCCTAAGTCTATTTTTTGTGATACTAACAGCCCTAACGATACCGATTGCGATTATATCAGGTTATTACATGGAGAATAAGAAGCAAAAGCTTTATCTATGTCTAATACTACTATTTTCAGGTTTCATAATATCAGTATTTCTAAGTCTAGATCTAATTATATTTTATGTATCCTTTGAGGCGGTACTGATTCCTCTAACACTTCTAGTAGGGATTTACGGAGGGCGAAGGAGGATTAGTGCTGCATATCTACTATTTGTGCGCCATTGCAGGTGCATTTGTCATGTTTGTATAACAAACCGTAATTCTCACCACATTACGACACGATCGGAGTCAGGTCTAAGGGAAAACCGAAGGCTGAACAAAGCATCTCCGCTAGAAGCGCCGAAGTATCTAAATAAGCTAACGATAGCTTTCGCGCAACGTGTTCTCTCTATGGTCAAGACTATACTGTTTGAAATCAAATTCCCGGTGCCCTCTCAGAAAAGGGAGCAGTTTGGCTTTGATGGGCTGTTCAAAATACATGTTATTTGAGGAATAGGAATAACATGGGCGATTATTTTTGCACGTTCACTAGTAAAGTGAATTAAGGGAATGAGTTGATGACCTAAGGAGAGTAAGTCGACAAATGTCACAACTAGGGGATGGCCTAAGGGTCGTAAGACCTATGGTCACAGAGTCGGGGTAGTACCTGACCTAAGAGTAACATCTCTAGGATACAGTCTCGGTAATGCGAGAACAAAGGGAAGACCGACAGTTTTTAACGTATCAAATAACAGAAGCTACAGTACAGGAGGTACAAATAATGTAGCCAATGCTATTGATAGTCTTGCTCTACACTGTTCAGAAAAACCTGATATGGTGGTAGACAGAAAGCTTTATAAAATGCTCTGCTCAGAGAAATTTATAATCATAGCTTATAATCAAATCAAAAGTAGACCTGGTAATATAACACCGGGTATTGTAAACGAAACACTAGATGGGATTAATAACGAATTTTTCCTAAAGCTGAGTCAGGAACTCAGATCCGAAACATTTCAATTTACACCAGGTAGAAGGATTCAGATCCCCAAAGCTAAGGGAGGTACAAGACCCGCATCTCCTCGGGACAAGATCGTACAAGAAGCAATAAGAATCATTCTTAATGCTATTTACGAACCCGCTTTTCTCGAGAGTAGTCACGGATTTAGACCTAACCGAGGGTGTCATACAGCCCTAGAAGCAATTAAGCTACATTTTCAGAGTGCCTCATGAATTATCGAGGGTGATATAAGCAAATGCTTCGACTCAATCGATCATCAAAAACTTATGAACCTAATCGAAAAGAAAATCCTCGATAAACAATTCACTAAGCTTATCTGAAAGAGCCTTAGATGCGGTTATTTTGAGTTCGCACGATACGAACGAAACATTGTAGGAACGCCACAAGGATCAATTATTAGCCCAATCCTTAGTAACATTTATCTTCACCAACTAGATGTAGAAATACAAATTCTTAAGGATAAATTTGATAAAGGTACTAGACCAAGAGCAAACAAGGAATATCAACGAATGTCATATCTTATGAGGAAGGCAAAAATTACAGGAGATCTCCAACAGGTCCAAGAAAGATTTAAGGATCTACAAAACATTCCTTACACTGACTACTCGGACCCCCAGTACCGACGCCTTAACTATGTAAGATATGCTGACGACTGAGTAGTGGGAATCAGAGGTAGTAAGGCCGAAGCCCAAGAAATTATAAACCATATTACGACCTTTTGCAACCATCTAGATCTAACAATTAATCAAGATAAGACAAAAATCACTAATATTATAACCGAAACGGCAGTATTCCTTGGAACCAATATCCAACGCAGTTCTCATCAAAAGTTCCATTCGAAAGGAAGGTCTTACAAACAGAGACTTATACTACCTCTTAACCTAACCGTATCTCTTGACAGGATTAGATCCAAACTTCACCAAACAAGTTTTCTCAAGAATGGCCAACCTAACCCTCGGTACCTATGAATACCTCTAAACCATAGACAAATTCTAGTACTGTATAACTCGGTCTACAGAGGATTCACTAATTATTATTCCTTTGCGCTAAACTACAATGACCTAGCCTCACTACTGCAATTCGTACTAAAGAGTTCGTGTGCAAAGCTCCTCGCAGCTAAATACAGCCTCGATAGTCAAGCTAAGGTCTATAAAAAGTTTGGATCAAGCCTAACAGACCCCGCGTCTGGACAAACTTTTGTCAAACCAGAATACTCTACCAATGTCCTAGGATTTAATAAAACCGCCTGATATCTCAACTCTATACGCAGATAAGATCTCTATTGCCGAAAACCTGGTATGTAGCAATTGTCAGTCCAACTATAGAGTCGAAATACATCACATTAAGTTTATAAAGGACCTTAATCCTAAGGTCTCTCATTTTGATAAAATTATAATCCAAGCTAATCGAAAACAAATTCCACTCTGCAGATCTTGTCATATGAAGCTACATAAGCAAGATAATGTTAAGAATGGAGAGCCGTATGAATTGAAAGGTTCACGTACGGTTCGGGAAAGGGGCAAGAATATCCGGATACCTTGTTCTAGTTCATCTATATACACTATTTGGGAGTCTACCGATGCTTCTATCATTTCTAAATATGTATACGATTACGAATACGACGAATATAGCAGTACTAAGTCTAATGAGTCCAGATTATCATCCTCTAATATGACTAGGGATTTTTATAGGTCTAGCGGTAAAAACACCACTAGTTCCTTTTCATCTATGGCTTAAGACAGCCCATGCTGAAGCTAATTGTGCAGTATCAGTAGTACTGGCGGGGCTAGTGCTAAAGCTGGCAACGTATGCACATATAAGGATTCTGATTCAGCTAATACCTGAGCAGACACAATATTTTCAAAGTCTAGTACTAGTAATAAGTCTAATATCGATTATTTATACTGCATTCATTTGTCTAAGGCAGACAGATTTTAAGCAACTGGTAGCTTATTCTTCAATTAATCATATAGGAATTGTATGTCTAGGTCTTTATAGCAATACTCTAACAGGGATTGAAGGAGGGATTCTACTATCCATCTGTCATGGAGCTGTAAGTCCAGCACTCTTCATCCTAGTAGGTGGTGTAATTTATGATAGGTATCATGATCGTACAATCAGGTATTATCGTGGTCTTGCCACTTATATACCTCTCTTCTCCATTTTTTTTCTAATATTTACACTAGGTAATATGGCTACACCACTGACAGGAAATTGAACAGGAGAGTTTATAAGTCTAGCAGGAGCTTTTCAAACATTCCCTATAATGACAATACTAGCCAGCACTTCCATTGTTCTAAGTGCTTGTTATTCAATCTACCTCTATAACAGAATATGTTTCGGATCGTGATCTCGTTATCTAAATCCTGTTATAGACCTAACAAGACTAGAATTTAATGTACTTATACCTCTACTCGTCCTTATAATAGCTCTCGGACTATATCCTAATATAGTACTAGACTATCTTCATGTCTCTTGTTCAAGTCTCATTTACTTAGACCCCCTTCGCATAATATCATATTAAAAATATAATAAGAAAAATAATAATAATGATAATAATTATAATAATAATAATAAGAATAATAATAATACTAATGATAATAAT